CTCCAAGCCCTCTCCCTGGCTCCAGGCCTCTTTCCAGAGGGAGGGGTGTGGGCCAGACCTGGGGCCCCCACATCCCCTGGCCAGGGACGCTCAGAGGGGCAGCCACTGTGCCGGGAACTCAGAGGCGGGCGGAAGAGCAGTTGGCGCCAGGAGGCCATGGCGCAGCCTCCACCCCCAGACCCCTAACAGTGGGCCAGTGTGTGGGCCGGGTGGGGTGGGGGCCCAGCGGGGTCGGGTCCCGCTCCATAAACCCTGGCCAGCCGGGAAGCTGCAGACTTGCCTGTTGATACAGGGGTGATGTCACCAACAGCCAATGGGGAGCCCGTCGGGGGCTCTGCGCGCGCCTCCCTGTATCCCGTGGGCCGACAGGCACGCGGCCCGATCTGAGTGCCACCTGAATAAACCAGTCCTTCCCAGCATCCCGCGGGGCGCCTTCCCCCAGGCCCATCTCCACACCTCCTCTCCCCTCGAGCTCTTGACCCAGCACTGGGGGTCTGGGCCCTGGGGCTGGGGGTCGGCTGGGCCTCATGACCGGGGCCTGTTCTCCCTCAGGTATCTGGGTCTCAGACTTCAGACCCCCAACCCTTAGCCCCACCGGTCAGCCCCACTCCCAGGATCCCACCTGGTTGCTGCGGCTCCCTGTGGTCACACCTGGGTCCTCTCTCTTTCATCTGCCTCTTGGCAGCCTGGAGCCCACAGCCTGTGCTCCCAGAGGTGGCCACATGCCCTACTGGGCGCCTTCCCACCAGTGGGAAGCACAGTGGGGGGACCCAGTGTGAAGACGTAGCTCACCCAGGAAGGGCCAGGGCTTGGGCAGCTCTGGGTCCCCCTTTCTGTTGGAGCCAGCCTGTTCCTCGGCCTCCAAGCCATCTTCCGCCTTCATTTCCCTTCCCCCCAGGAACCCGCCAGACCCCAGGTGGACCCTCCAGGGCCCAGCAGCCTCTCTTCCCTCCAACTCCAGCACAGGCTTCTGCCCAGCCCCCAACCCCCCATGTCTCCTCCCCGTGCAGCCCCAGCTCTGGGATCTCCTCTGGAATCTTCCATCCAGGCAGAAGTTGCTTCTGCAAAGCGTGGGGCCTGCGGCCTTCCTCCCCCGTGGCCCTGCCAGCTTCTCGCTGGGGTCTGCACAGGGCCCCATTTTGGGGGCACAGTCCCCACAGCTATTTGTGGTGCCCTGGGGCTTGGCACGTGCTGGCACAGAGGTGTCCTGCGGGGCAGCAGAGGGGGAAGGAGCCTCCTGCCCTGGGTTTATGGGTCTAGCCCCCGCCCTGCACCACTCCCCGCGGACAGGCTGCCTGCCTGTGTCCAGCCAGGTGTGGGGTGATGGAGTGGGGCTCCCCAAGGACAAGGAGCACAGTGTCTGCTTTATTTGCAGGCTGGGCGCTGACAAGGAGCAGAATACCCACAGTGACTGCTTCCAGGAAACGGCTGCGGGCGGGGGGAGCCGCCAGGGAGAGCAGGCCCCTTCCCAGCAAGCCGGCCTGCAGGTGGGCTTCCAGGAAGGGGCCCCCACCAGTTCCCCTCAGCCCTGGAAAGGGGCCAACAGTGTCACCAGGAGCAGGCTGGGGGAGCTATGCACAGAGAGGGGGAGGAGGAGAAAATTGAGGAGAGGAGAGGGAGGGGGAGAGGGTGGGCAGGACTGGGCTTCACCAGCATGGTTACTACAGCCTTGCAGAGACCAAAGCCGACCACAGTTCTTTCTAGAATGTTCCATTTCCCCTTTGGGGGGGTTTACACAGTCTTTGAGAAGGCCCAGTCTCTCGGGGCTTGTCAGGCACCACATGTGCCTGCAATCATGCACATAGAGGCCTGGTCTGCTGCAGAAGGCAAGAGCAGGCTGCACAGATACAGTGCCCTGAGCCTAGACCCAGCTTTGGGTCGGTACTGACCAGCAGCGGAGCCCTCCTGGCTCTCCTTGCTGGAGAGGGCTGTGGGGGCCTCCAGACTGGATCTACTGCCCCCGGTTCTGAGCATTTGGATGCCCCTCCCCCAGAGAGATTTTTGTCTTCTCAGGCACCAATCTCAGTGTTTGGAGACTTCTCAGGCTGGGCCTGTTGTAGTCAGACTCCAAAGGTCCCCTTAGTCCTGTTTAAAGGATTCTGTTTCCTTTGCCATGCTGGAATTTTGTCCTCAGTGATATAGTGAGCGACCTGCCCCTGCCCCACACTGTGGTCTATAATTCCTGCCCAGGTCATTAAACGCCTGCAGAGACCTCACCCCACAGGGCCACAGCTGTGGGCACACACAGGACAGAGGACAGGGAGGGGTGCGTGGCCCTGGAGCACAGGGTTAGAGACGCCAACACAGGCGGCGTCTGGCCCGGCAGGCGTGACCCCACTGTGTGAAATGATCCCCCTTCTCTCTGGCAGGACGACTGGACAGAAACACCAGCGGGAGGGGGCCAAGTGTGAAGACCCTGCAGCCTACCCTGGGTGCCTATGGGGGTGGGTGTGCAGGGGCCCCCAGGGGCATGTGTAGAGGCTCTCCAGAGCTTGAAACCTCGAAACCTCTTTCCCAAGGTTTTCTGGCACCGCTGCAGCCGCCCCTCCCCACCCACCCCCTGCTGGGGTTTGGGGCTGAAATTCAAGCCCCTGTTTGCTTCTCTGCACTCAGCTCAGCCTAGGAGCATTCTGAAAGTGCCTTTGGGTGGCGGGGGCGCCAGGAGCCTGTCTAACAGCCCTCTCTAAGCCCCTTTTCTAAAAAGCAGGAAATCGGTTGGGCCAAAGGTAAACACATTCCAACCTGGCGGTCCCCAGCTCAGATGGAGGGGCTCTGTTGGGGCGGGGGCTGGGCCACCTCTGTTTTCCCAGCCCCCACCCTGGGCGAGGCTTGAGGCTGGACCCCCGCGCACCTGTTTTCAGAGTAACCCGTGCCTTGGCCTGTCTGCATCACAAGATCCTGCCCCCATGAGCTCCTTCCTGCTCCCCAGGCCCTGGCGCTCCAGGGGCTCCACTGGATTCTGTCCCAGGTCCAGCTCGAAGCCCACTGCAGAAGGAGGGACTGTGTGGACCGCCCAGGTCACCCTGCCCCACCCTCGGCATTCATAGGGGCAGAGACGCCCACAGCAGGGGGAGTGCCACGGTTGGGGGTGCTGAGGGCCAGCGGCTCCCCTGGGTGGGCAAGAAAAGGAGCACTCCACTCTCCCAAAGTCTGCGCAAGCTCTTCCCCCAACTTTGTCTCAGAACTCCCTGGGGAAAGCCCAGGGTGAGGATGTGCCCTTCACAGCCACCCTGAGGGTCCCAAGCCTGGACGCAGCTGGGCTCCAGCGTGGCTGGCTCTCCAGATGACCAGGACTCAGCCCACAGCTTCCCGAGGCCCCTTCCCAGTTCCCTTCCGCGTCTGGGATTTGATTTCTGTGTCCCTAGAGGAGGCTGCCGGACTGACATCTCCTCCCCACCTCCACAGCCTGTGACCCCACTGCCCCTGAACCCCCTGGGCCACCTGCAGTGCCCACCAGCCGTTCTTGAGAAGGCTGGCTTTCATCTTCCGAGCCCCGCTTTGGGAACCTCGAGCAGGTCGGATGTTTACCATAAAGGCCAGTGGAGACCTCCCTCCCCATGTGATGGATAGCTACTTTGTCACTTGGTCAAGTCACTGCCGTGAGGTCAGGAAGGTGGAGGTGGCTTACCCAGCACAGCCGGCTGGCCTTTGAAATCCTCATGGAGATAGACAGCTTCAAGAGACTCTCTCTCCCAACTGTGCCCATTGGGTCACCACTGGTCTTAACTAGGGCCTCAGATGGGTGGTGGGGCAGGGGGTGGCGAGGGGGATGGTGAGGGCCTGTCCCTGTCTGCGGGGCCTGTGGGGGAGGGGAGAGCTGCAGCCCGGGGCGGGAGGGAGGGAGTTCCTGGTTCTGGGTCTGGTTCTTGTCAATCTGTGGAGGCTCTTTCCTGACTGTGCTGAGCATTGCCCCTGGTGGGAGGAAAACAGGGCCCAAGACCCCAGTCTCATTTTCAGGAGCCTCATCTTAGTTCCTAGGGTCTGTACATTCCAACCAGGAGCCAGGAAGCCTGGACTGGGGCTCAGCAGGGTGCTGCCCAGCCTTGGGGTCTCTCACAGGGGGCTCCACTTTCACCCAGGAGCAAGACCCCAATAATGGCCCTCTGTCACCCAGACCCCTCTCCCTCCTCTCTTCCCTTGACCTCTCTGCCTCCCTCAAGTCTCCTTGGATCTCTTTGGTACCCTCCCCTCTCTGTGGCCATGCTCAGACCTGTGTGTGTCCTGGTCCCCCTGCTGTGGCCTCCAACTCCCTCTCACAGCAAGTGAGAAGATGGGGTACCCTCAGGCTACCCAGGCCCCAGCTCCTTAGCTAGTAGGACCCAGGGCAGAGGAGCCAGGTGGGGCAGGACGGGGAAACCCAGAGGCTGCTGTGGACCTGTGCGAGTGGCCAGGGCCAGCCCTGCTCCCAGAGCTGGTGTCCACCCTGAAATCCGTCCCTGCAATGTGGTTCTGCAAACCTCCATTGGCCTTTGGGGTCTGGCCCGGTACCCAGGACCAGATCAGACAGAGAGCTGGAGAGCCGGAGGCACTGGAGCGGGGTCTGACCTCTCCCTCATGGCCCACGACACCCCTTGCCATCCCAGCCCCCACCACCCCTGGTGTGTACGCTCCTCTGTCCCCCCAGGCCCCCAGTGTCACAGACCCCACCTCTCGAGGGGACCCTTCTGTATCATAACCCCCTTGGCTTCCCCTGCACCCCTCCCCTCAGTGCTCATTCCATCCCCAGGCCCTCCTGGTTTCATTCCCTCGCCCCCCCTTCCCATAACTCACTTCCTCAGCCAGTCACCCCATTCCACGGCCCCTCCTCTTCTCATGACCCCTCCCCACCCCACAGCCCCTCCCTACCCCGTAACCCTCTTCCAGATGTGTGCCCCATCCTATAACCCCCATCTTTTCCCCCTCCCCACCCCAGAACCCCTCGGTCCCTCTTGGCACCTCCCCTCCCTCCCACATCCCCCAGCCCACGGCGCGCCCCGAGGCAGACAGCTCAGATTCCAGTCCCTGAGACAAGTTGCTGTAACTGTGTTTATTGATGAGGCCAGGACTCTGGTGAGCCCTGGTGGGGAGGGGCACTGGGCAAGGTAGTGTAAGGAATGCTTTGAGGTGGCTCGCTGTTGTGGAGCTTCCAGACAAGGTGAGGGGAGGGCGGGGCCTCAAGCACGCGGCCGGCGCCCAGGCGCCCCCAGGCAGAGGTGGACAGCAGGCAGGCGCTGGGGCGGCGTGGCCAAGGAGGCCCGCACACTCACGCACACGCGCACAGAGAGACTCAAGGCTCTCTCCGAGCTCCAAACCAGTGCAAACGACTTAGTGCAAATTGAAATCAGAAGGGACGGGTGGGGAAACAGAGTCACGGATGCTTTGAATCTCTCAAACGACGGAAGGAAGAAAGACAGAAACACAAGGTTGGAGGGAAGGAGGAAGAAGAAAAGCAGAGGGAGGCGTGCTGATGGTCCGCTGGGCGCAGTGGGGTGGCCACGAGGATGGGGTTTGGCGGCGGGTGCTGCGGGTCTGTTCTGCCTTGATGTTCACAGGCCTGGTCCTTGGCTTCACCTGTGGAGAGTGACAAAACA